CCCCAAACCGGTCTTTCCTACAGAAGAGCCCATCCATGTTTATATACAGATTGGTGGGGCTCTGGACAAGCTTTAATACCCCAACTACATACTCTGCCTATTTTTCTGCAACCACAACACAGGTTCACAGAGAGTTGGGCCTAGGGGTAGACAGAAGAGGTGGCCACCTTGGGTGCTTCAGCCTGAGCGGGCACAAACATTTTAGGACCTGCCACCTATGAAGTCATTTACAGCTCATGGGGGGGCGCACTTTGGCCACGTTGGTTTCTTCGCCATATACAGCGTGTTAGTAATGAGACGCATAGGTGTGACTCCAGCCAAGCCCTCGTACTAAGACGCAGATAGAACTTTGCCCGCACTGTAAAAGTTAATGAAGCGAAACAGATTTGTTTGGCTTCCCTGGCACATGACAGAAGGTTGGCGTCACATGATCCGGTCCCTAATGAGCGCAGACGGCTGACTTCCAGAAATTGGCACTGCCGATCTGTAATGTGTGGGGCCACACACAGGGCTATTAGGGCTGAACAGATCATCAGCCGGCTGCGTGACCCGGTCATGTGAATAGCGGTGCAGAAACGGTTAAAGCTTCCTTCCCCTTTATACACGAAATCTGCAAATACTTAAAAAATAGTTTTTTCCCAGCAGAGTGTCACATCTGTGGGTGACACCAATCACAGGGTAGCCCTGCGCGGTCTGATGGCTGCAGACGGCAACTGTTGGCACTTTTTAGGGCCCATTTACTTATCTCCCATGTGTTACGTCACACATTAATGTATGTTGCATTACGCAACGCATCCTAATGCAGACCATGGCATCCTGGTGCAATGTGCTACAATGGAGGTGCATTGGGTGGTGCAAGACTCTGAGCCACGGCCATGGAATGGGATTTGTAGTTTCAGCACAGCTGGAGGGCCGAGGTGGCCTACCCCGGGTCTAAATCAATGTGTTACAAATGAAGGAAAGGGTTACAGGAGATGGCATGCTGTGTTGCTTTGTTCAGGATGTAACCCGGAGGAAATTTATAACTGGTTAGTCAGGACTGCGGAGCCTGTTGTGTCTCTTTGACCGCCTTCTCAGCAATTCCCATCCACCCTTTCCCTGCCACGCTGCAAGATGAGTGCCGCCCTCTGCCGTGACTGCATGTCAGAGCCTAATACACCACAAATCTGCAGAATTACCTTCCTGACCTGTCACAAAATATACAGCAACAGGATCCATGTTCAGAAAAGCTCCACATTTTAACATTATAAAGCCGTCCTTGAGCTCTGGTCATGTCATCAGTTTGCTGCAGGCAGAAGGAGGCATTTCCTCAGTCTCCCCTCCCTCAGTGATCACCGGCATCTGAATTTTATATAACTGTGTCAGCTCTGAGCTGCCATCTCAGTCCAAATGGTGACACTGGGTTATGTTTAAATAAAGATGACTCCATCCTTCTGGAGAAAACAGCAGATGAAGGTATTGTCAGGGTTAGTATTGTGATCTCTGTGGGAGGTATTGAATACTTGGAAGTAATATACTTACACATTACCGAGGATGCATGTACCTACCATATACCGAATGCTAGATCTACTTTAAATACATAACTGCAATGTTTCTTGGAGCACCTGGGAGGGTTAATCCACCATCACTAAATTGAATTTTTTAACCATTTTTTACACTGTCATAAAATAAATCAAGAACAGGCATTCTTATTGCACTCCAC